CAGCCCAGCGCCCGCCTCTCCGAGGGGTTTGCACGGTAACCGGGCACGCGCTAAACATGCGCAAATAAGGCTGCGCCCGCGCCGTGGCGACCGTTGGGCGGGGACCCGCGGCGCGCGGCACCCCGGGCCGTTGGGCCCCGCGCCGCGGGCACACACTGCGGTGCGATGGGGCCTGCCTCCCGAGTGCCCTGGGGTTTAATTTCTTCGTGTCTTCTGTCAGTGGGAAGTCTGACACTCGCCTGAAAAACCAGAGGTCGCGTCCAGTGCTCACGAGCTGCCTGAGCTTGAAGCGGCTGAGCCCGGCCCCGAGGCACCTCTGCCCTTTGGCAGTGTGAACCTTTGGCACTGGGGCGCTTCATCACCTCCCAGCTCTCCCCACCAGCCAGTAGCGTCACCAACTCTTGCGTTTTCCAGAGAAAAGGCCGTGAAGCTGGCCACATGCTGCACAAGCTGTCAGGCAGGCTGCTGGCTGAGAGAGCCCGTGTGTCACCCCCTTCTCCACCTGAGCTCCTCGCAAAGCCCCACTTGTCCCTCCGGGTCTCTGGGAAGAGGGGCCTCTGACGGGAGGACGGGGTCTGCCTGGCCACCCGACCTCAGCCTTGTTTGTCCCAAGACTCTGGCTGCAACTAACTCCCTGTCTAAGCATAACCTTGAGCTTGCTTGTACAGGAAGCAGCAGGTAAATCATGAGATAGCAGCAGCATCTTACAGATGACTATCTCCTGAGATCACGGGTGTTTGCAGGGCAATAAAGGAGATTTGGGTTAGCACACAACATCACTCTTACTGAGTTTGCTTTGTTGTTCAAAAACACTTCTATAGGAAGCTATTTTCAGTTCTGAATAGTGCAGGATACCATTAAATATGCAAGTGCAACTCCTGCCAAATTCAGTGGGAAGCAATAATCCAAACTGCAGATTGTGATCCTATTCCAGCATACTGTGATCAAATTCCATATAAAGCTCTAATTTACTTGGAATTTGGTAGATGCCTAGAATCTGATTACTTGAAACAATTTCATTAAATCGTGTCATTCACTCTTTTCTCTTTTGCCAGTCAGACCTGGGGACTTGTTACTCCAGGCATTGTTTCCAGGTGACAGAATGAGCACCAAAAGGATTTTTTTTTGATCCACTCAAAAGAAAAAAATGCATAGACAGTTACTTGGGTAAGTATAGCTAAGTGGTCAGCTTCCTTCTGTGGGTGGTTGGATGGAACATTTTATTTTTATCATATTGAAAGAGCTGTCTTCCCACAGCACACAAAACTTCTATTTGCTTATTTTTAAAATCACGCCTAGATTGACTGATGGAGCATGTGTCCCACAGCTGAGTCACTGACACTGTCAATGCTGTTCTAGGGTGAGTCATGAGGAATATCAGGAGGAGAGATGGGGAAAGACTGATGGATCCTGCTCATGAGAGAGTCTGGATGACCAGTATCAAAACCAGGTGATTTAATCAATAACTAAATCTTACGTATCATTTCCTCAGGAGGAAAAGTGTAGATTTAGAATTACTCCCCATATTATTGTCTTATTTCTGACCACTGAGAAGAAAAATGGTCTTATCATTTTTATGGTATGTAGATGTGGCAAGAAATTACCCTTTTGATCAACAGTTCAAACTTTAGAAAAAAGCAGATGGTTTTGCTAGACAGTGGGGAAGCTGCTTTGCTGACAGCTCAAAGAGGTGGTAGGTTGCAGAAAGAAGCTGTTAAACTCTGAAGGGCAGAAAACAGCAGAGAGCTCACATCATCACCTTAGATTACTCCAAGGAAAGTAGTAGAAGATCCCACTCCGTTATGGACAACACAGCCCATATAGCATAGTGTCTGCTGCTCTTCATGTACTCCCTGTGAGCCCTCCCAGAGCCTGAGCACTCTTTCAACAGAAACACATGAAGATGGCACAACAGGTCACAGCATTCCTTATGCTTCTGAAAGCAGACTCTGCACAGGTGCTTCCTTCCCAATATTTCCTCCTATGTCTTAAGACTGTGGCAGACAGGGTCTGAAGGTTACACGAGCAGTCAGCATCTTATCTATCTGAACAGCTCTGAGTCACATCCTGGTTTGGCAGAGAAGAGTGAGGGTGCCAACTTGTCTCCCAGCATGGCTGAATTCAGCTGCTGTGACTGGAACAGAAGTAGTTCCGAAGCAAGGAGGCCTGAGGAAGGTAAAAATCCGACAAGCATCCTAGTGAAAGTGTACACTGCCTGAACCAGCTCCAAAGGGAAGGTAGCCACAGGTCCTGTTCCTGGAGCACAGGCATGGAAGGAGGCTGGCAGAGAAGCTGTCCATTCAGTCACTGACAGCTACTGGAGGTCTGCAGTAAAGCTGTGCATATATGCAATATCCAGAGTCTGCTGGAGACAGACTACCTTTTTAAAGGTTTGAACAAGTCTATACCAGCAGATCCATTTTAGCTCAAAGGAAGAATTTGTATTCTGTGCATTTTTATTCTGCATGTGCTCAAAAAGGATTTATAGTCCTATGAAACCTATATCTGTGGCATAAATCTTAACTAATAGAGTATATCATTGTAATTCCCCAGCTTGTGGAGATGTTCTTTTGTATTGGAGGATCTTTTCACAGCATAATTTGTCATTGGGAAGAAATTCAGATAAGACAAAACTATGCATATGACTATATTGATATAACTAGTAAACTAATTCTAGATTCATACAGCTTTACTGTTTTGTTGTTGTTGTTTTGTTTGTTGCTTCAAGATCTAACTAGTGAGTAAACAGGAATAAAAGTTAGAATGAAATGTACTAATAAAAATGAATAGAGAAGTGTCACCAACTGAAATAAATAGAAATAAGCACATATTTGTAGCTGGATAGCTTTGGTTATATGAATAAAGGCTTAGAACTATCTTGGAGTCAGATCAATAGGTGAATGAAAGCTTTTATTCATAAGTCTGTGTGCAAGGGTAAGAGCTGAAAAAAAAGAATTAAAACAGCAAGTGAGGGCAAAACATTCTGAACATTAAAATCCTGAGTCTGAGCTCAGGAATCAGACATTCAGATCTGTTTCTCTCCTGGAAGTATATGCTTGTTTATTCTCTATATATTTTTATTTAGAAAGACAATTCTTAATTTTAGTTGCGTGTATATATTTACATTACTGCTTAGTTAACTAGAAACACAGTAAAATACATAGTTATGATGCTTTTATCTCAAGAGGTAAAAATAAAGACCAGATTCCCAGCTATGTTACAGCTGTTTAATTCTTTGATAGTTCATAGATCACCTTAAATATCCACCTACATTTTTGATACAGCATTCTCCAGTGGTGTATGAGAAATGAGGAAAGAAGCTTTTCTGGTTAGCCTGCTCATACCTTCAAATGTAAGGCAGCAAGAATTAAGGCCTATTTTGTCCTGCTGCAAATGGGCGTTACCTCAGACCCATTCTTTTTTTTAAAGACTCAGGAGGCACTCTCTCTAGGAAAACAAAGTT